CCAAGACAACACATGTTCCAGCTTCCTGGTATTCATTTTGTTGAACTGTAAGTTGTTTATGTAAGTTGTTTCTTTAAAGGAGTTGTACCACTGGAATCTCCCACTGCATATTACATATATATATATATATATATATATATGTATATATGTATATGACCCCGTATGTTTTGTCATACATGTTTATAATTTATATCTAGCTTCCACATATGAGAGGAAACATCTAACCTTTGAATGCTTTTGAGGTTTTTTTTGTTAGAGGATGTTTTATTGAAATATTTTCTCTTGTACTTCTTACCTTGCTGGCCATTCCACGGTACCACTACTGATGTCATCTATGGTATTATAAGGTTGACAGCCATCAACATGATAGTCCATGGAGTGTGCATTGCCCAGAAACTCTCTAATAGTTCCAGAAATTTCTCTGGCTCAAGATCAGTGCTGAATTCTGCCTGGCAATGTTGATGATCTTATGAGATACAATGTTTTCACTATGCTAAATATTTTTATGTCTTTTGGTGGCTCTTTGAGGCTTTGCTGATCAGGACAGAGGCAGAAGGTACCACCTGAATGGGGACCTTTTTATTCTGAAGGGGAAGTTTCATCATAATCTTCAGAGCTTCTATTACTTGTTGCCTTAGAGATGTCATTACCAGCTTTTCCTGAGACAGACACAGGGCCCCAGTCTTGGGGGCCAGGGCAGATGTGAGGCTAACTTCACCCACCAGTTTGCCTCAGGTACATGAGTTTGAGCTATTGGGTTTGAACTTGGGCTGAATGCTGAGGTAGCTGTTGTCAGATCAATCTGGATCCTGGACAGGAAAAGAGTTGACTTTTATTTGCATCAAAGTCTGAAGTATTCCTTGGAGAATAAGGATACCTCTCACTAAAAAGATATTTGTTTATGCACATTTAAGTGCTAGCCATTAATTGTGCAGGGTAGAAATTCAGTTCTTTTGGGAGAGCTATGGTATTTCATAGACATGTTTTATGAACTAGGGTAAAAGGAAGTCCATGGGCTCCCTAATAATTTCTTTGTATCCAGCCTGAATAAATAAGTGCCTTTCCACAGCTGGAACTCCATTGTACCTATTCCATGCCTGTTCTTGAACTTCTGTACCTTAGTTTCCTTATCTGTCAGTTCAGGTCAATTATAGCTTCTACTTCACAGTACAGCTGAAATCATTAAATATTAACGTACTGCATTGTGCATAACACAAGTCATTAATATCATTGGATATTAAGTGACAAATGTGGATTCTTAGCCCCATTTGATTACCTTCTTCCTGTTATTTTAGTCATCTTATTTTGCCTCTCTTTAGTCTCATTTTGCCTCCCACACTTCCTCATTACCTGTTCTCTTCTCTGTTTCTGGCTGCCATAAGCACCTATACCTACTTTAGTACAGTTTAGCCCCACTCCCACCCTGCCCACCTCAGGTAGAAAACTCAGAATAGGCAGAGCAGCCCTCAGAGGACACACTCATGAGGATAGAAAAGAGACCGTGGCTAAGGCTTTGACACAGGTACAGAGATTTGTCATAAGAGGTCCAGAAGCTGGGAGGCTGACATCATCAGTTTGATGTTGGGTTGGAGCAACAGTGGGCACAACAGGCTACAAAGGCAAAAGTTATTCACACTGGACGAGACTAGACTAAGTCATCATTCAGAAGGACAAAAAGGGACATGTGCCAGTCTTGATCCTGCTACCACCCATTATCAAATGGTTTATAATAGCAGTGGCTCCATGCCATACGACACGTTATATGTTCGTGGTTTTGTAGGGGTAGTGAGCCTTGGGTTATCATGTGGCTCTATAGCCACAGATGCCATCCATATCCATGTTCTCAAGCAACTCGATTCAAAATACTTAATTCCTTCTTTGTTGAACATGCATAAATTTTTGTTGTTACAATTTTCTAAATAATTCACTGTCACCAATATTTGCATAGTATTTTCAGTGTATTGATTGTTTTACATATTCTAAAAACAAGCTGTAGGATGTGCATAGGTTATACACAGCACTGTATCATTATATCTAAGGGTCTAGGACATTTGCATATCTCTATACCTGGGTCAAAGCTGCTCCTGGAACCAATTCTCCACAGATACCTAGGAGGGCCAACAGTAGACTGGCTAATAAGTTCTAGAGCAGCCTGCTTGGATTTGAATTCAGAGCCTGTCACCAATGAGTTATGTTCCCCCTCAGTGTGTTGGTTAACCTCTCTGTACCCAGGTTTGTCATCTCTAGCATGGAGATAAATCAGGATAATATAGTATACTTCAATAGTTTCAAAATGTTAATGACCATTCTTGGCACATATTCTTCCACTATATGTCTCAGCTGTGTGTGTGTGTGTGTGTGTGTGTGTGTGTAAACATTTAAAGTTATACAATACTCATAATGACATCATTATTTCCATGTTACTTATGCAACACTATGGTGGGAAGTTATATGGTTTGCCAATGGCCATAGGCTTGTTGAGTAGCAGAGTAAAATCTTGAATACAAGTGTGACAGGCTTCAAAATCCCAGCTGCCACTCCATGCTTAACTGAGGCATATACTTTGCTTGCTAGAAGAGCTGGAAGGGAGGGAAAGGCAGGTAGGACTGTGAATACAGGTCAGTACTTGACCAGCAGAACCTGAGAGGGGGTGCGGGACAGATGGACTACATAAGGGTGCACTGGGACTAGGGACCACAGGCCCTTAGCCCAGTTTAGTCGTGTCTGTGGACAGAAGCCTGGTTTCCTAGGCCTATTACAGGAAGAGATCAACTAGAGAGCTGAGCATTCCTGAGATTTCATCTTCCCTGTTTTGCTAGGGGACCTGAGTGGAGGCAATGAACCCTTTTGTGCCTCAGGTTGCTCATTTGTCAAATGAGAGACATCAAATAGGCCATAGATGTAAATACATTTGCAAAGCATAAAAGCTGTATCTAGATTGAAAATAATGGAATCCTCCTTGACCATGTTACTAAGGGTCCTTACTTCCTTTTGGAGCCCAGTGTCAGAGCCCACATGCAAATCTGACATATTCCACAGAGACAGATGGAATCATGGCCATCTCCTTGTCTGGGTTCTTAGATTCCCCTCCGTAGAAATAAAGAAACCACTAAGCATCATCTGGGTCCCTGGAAATTTTTCATTATATGTGGATTTCTGTTTTCAAGAGCCAGAGCCACGGTCTATATTCAGGGTCCACAGTTAGCTTATCCCATTCCAGGGTCTCTGGCTTGTTTTGGTTGCAACCCTGGGTATGAGGAAAGCTGGGGCTCCTGTGCTTGCAGGCCTGTAACCACCTCCTCTCATCAGCTTACAGTCTTTATCCCCCTGGCATCATGGTGAAAAGAGAGGCAATGGATGGCTTTCTCTTGGGAGTCCTGTCTCTTTGAACTTGCCTGGGATCTCGTGTGTGTGTGTGTGTGTGTGTGTGTGTGTGTGTGTGTGTGTGTGTGTCTGACTACAGGATGAAGTCTTCCTCATAAGGACAGTATCTTGGCAGCTGCCAGATTCCTATTTTTCCACAGAATTGAGTTAGCCACTCAGCCATTGCTATTTTCAGACTGCAGCTGAGTTAATTAACAGGATATCCTAAGCCTGGTCAAAACACTCATCAGATTTGGTAGACCAGGCTTCCATTTTGAGGTGGCTGAAACTTGAGGTGAGTGAGGTGGACTTGGTGTGAATTTGTGAGGGTCAAGTTCTTTTTGGCAAGCAATGCTTCTGTTGGCCTATGTGCTGGGCTTCACTTGAAGACCAAGAAACTCTAGACTAACACACAAGTGTTTTCATTCCTAGAACTAGACCTGATTGAATTTAGTGGTCCGTTATTTTACCATCTGAAAAACAAGGATAATAAACTCTCCTTCCTATGTTCTTCATGTCAAATTAGAAATAAACTTAAATAGTCCTCTGTCTGCTTGCCAAGAACAAGAAGTAATGTAAGATGGTGTTTTAGTTTTTGTAAAATACTATTATTATTTTGCTGGTCCTGGGTCTTGTACTCACGGGCTAGGTACTGTTCTTGAGCTTTTGTGCTCAATGCTAGTCCTCTACTACTTGAGTCACAGCTCCATTTCTGTTATTTTGTGTGTGTGTGTGTGTGTGTGTGTGTGTGTGTGTGTGTGTGTATGTGTATATGATGAATTGGAGATAAGAGTCCAAAGACGTTCCTGCTCAAGCTGGCTTGGAATGGTTATGCTCAGATCTGAGCCTTGTGAGTAGCTAGGATTACAGGTATGAGCCACTGATGCCTGGCTGTAAATGTTTTTAAAAAGTCATTTGCTTATCAAGCCCCTGGCCTGTAATCCTAGCAACTCAGGAGGCTGAGATCTGAGGATCATGTTTTGCAGCCAGCCTGGGCAGAAATGTCTGGGTGACATTTATCTCCAGTTCACCACTAAAAAACTGGAAATGGAACTGTGGCTCAAGTGATAAAGCACTGAACTTGAGCTGAAAAGCTATAGAACAGCACCCAGGCCCTGAGTTCAAACTCTAGGACTGGTACACACATACAAAGAAAGTCACTTGTTCAATAATTTTGGGAACCCCAGAGAAACAATATTAAGTAGGTTTCTTTTCTTGGAGACCACTCATCATTACTATACCAATAAAGCATATGGAAAACCATGAAAAGGATATAGTATACAAGACTTTTCTTGATTATTTTTTAAAGATGGGGGGGTGGGTCTCACTATGTAGACCAGGCTGCCTTTGAACTTGTTATCCTCCTGCCTCAGCCTTCTAAATGCTTGGATTATAGATGTACCCCCATACCTGTCAACATTCCTTCAGTGTTTCACCAAACATTTGCAGCAGAGTATTTCTCAAGTTTGATAAGTGTAAGATATACTTTACCTGATGCCAGTGTGGGTCCTTCTTTCTTTAGTGGTGAAAGCCAGTGCCTAGGGTGGCTACAACATAGGTCTGATAAAAGGCGTTGAGGTTCACAGTCTGTCTCAGTGAGTCCTGCTCTGATATATCTCTCCATCTTGTCCCCACAGCTCCCCTTTGAACTGGAGGTTTACTATATTCAGCATGTCATGCTCTATGTGGTGCCCATCTACCTGCTTTGGAAAGGAGGTAAGGCCAGCAAACCACTTCCCTATGGCTCTCTCTCACACCTCACCTCTGCCTCTGTTTGGAGCACCATAAGCCCTTGTGTGCGTACCAAGAAGTTGAGCTGCTGTGTTGGGTGGGTATCTCCAGCATGCTTGATGTAGACTCCAGCACTGGGGAAATATGGGCATTGATACCAACTGTGAAGATTCCAGGCACTTTTCAGAACAATCTCTTAGGGATGACCATAGTACTGCTGATTGCCTGTCATAAGGCTTTGGCTTTGAGCTCTTGGTGATAACCTGAGGTTTGCATGGTATCCCTTTTACTGTGCCACTCTGTTTTGCCTGTGCCTTCCCCCTGCCTTAGTGTACAGTGTGGTGTAGTGACAGTAAAGCACTCAGTTCCTTCAGGAACAAGACCTTGTGTTCTTATTCATTGGTTCTATTATCTCAGACAATAGAGAGGTTAATGGAGGGCTAAGAATTGTGAGGACTGGAGGATTATGGGATTGGGGAAAGAACAAAATGGAAGAGCAGTATCTTCCACAAAAAATAATCCACTGCAAACTTGCATTTTGTCAAGAGATAGAGACTACTGAGTGGTAGAAATAGTCTGGAAAGGTAGCTGATCTGTTTGTGACATCACAATACCCTGTGAGTTTCCTCTTCTGCCATTGGAGACAAAGAAGGAGAGTGCCTTTTCTGCTTCTTGGAGGGCCTATAAATTGACTACATTCTCTTACAGTCTTTCCTAATAATCATTCTGCCCTGGGACTTTCCTGGGGGACTTTTTTTCTAACTCACTCTATGCAGTAAGGTTTCATTATTATTATTTTTTTAATCTCTCTACAAAATGACATGAAGGTGCCTCAGCCCTGGAACTCATTGGAATACAGTTTGGCTCTTCTGCTTCTGGTTATTCAGAAGATTTGCGTCCTGTGCCCTGGTTTCTGTCAGGACTCTTATTGTTTTTATTTTTATTTTTTACTATCTTTTACTTGTACAAAGGGGTTGCCATTTAACAAAAGTTTATGAATACAATATATCTTGATAAATGTCACCCCTTTCAACATTCTCACCAATCCCTCCCTGACCAACTGTTTCCCTCACTCTTCTTAATCTTGTAGGACATACATTGGATTCTTGACTGCATTCTTTCCCTTTTCTACTCTTCATTTGCCCACCCCTTTCCCCTTGACCCCCACACCACCTTTATAAAGTACCTACTTCCTAGTGTTTTGTTTTGCTTAGCTTTGATTTTGCCTGTCAGGCTTCTTTTCTATAAATGTTTCCAAATGTTCTTTAACACTACTTTTTACCCTTCATGGTCATGGTGGGGGGAGGAGTGTGTGGGGGGGGGGAGAGTGTCTCATGCTGTCAAAGAACACTTTCCTATAATTTGCTCTAAAAGCACTTTCCCCTGAGCTTTAACGAGAAGCTGACAGTCTAGCATCTGAGAGAGTTGGGCTGTTCCTAGTAATAGTCAGGTCTCCAAGATACACTCATTCTGAATGGACCCAAGTGGCCAGGTTGGTCCCTCCCACTCACCTGTTCCTGGTTTCTGATCTGTGTTATGGGAATTATGGCCAGATCTGCATGGCTGTCATTTTAAACCTGTTTCTACTCTGAGGTCACCATAAAAAGCTCTCCAATAATTGAGCTAGACTGGTCTGACATGGAAAATACCAAGTAGCCATCCATCTTCCTCCCCCTCCAAAACTCTCTGGGAAGGAATACTCTCCAGACAAGGCTGATTCCAGCCTCTAAACACAGCTAATTCCTCAGCAACATTCTGCTGGATGGAGGGAAAGGAGATGAAGTTGGGATTCTGTCTTCCTTTCAAACTATTCCCTGCTCTTAGTGATTATTTCTCCTCCCCCTGCCTGATCCAGAGCAAAAATGAAAACCACAGTAAATATCAGTAACTACTTTTTATAGAGAGTATGCTATGTGTGAAATAGGTGTACTAGGCATGATTTGTCTCCTTCACTGTCCCAAATAGCCTGTTGGAAAAATCTTTCTCTACATAGGAGAAAGTCATGGCTTGTGAGTAACAGATCTGAGTTCAAAGTACAGGCTAAATTCCTACCCACATCAGTGTCCTTTCACATATGTGTACCGTCAGGAAGGCCAGACAGCTGTCTCCTAACCATATCAGACCAGGAGTCTTCCCTATCCCCTCATCTACTGCACCAATTAAACCATTCACTCAACATTTACTTGTTGAACAACTCCTGTCTCCTCTGTGCCAGGCACTTGTAGCAATAGGGAATTGGAAAACCTGAAAGACATAGACCTTCCATGAGTATTCTCTGTCTCTTGGGGATGATAAGCAATTATAGTGCAGCAGGGAAAGCACTGCAGAGAGTAATGTGGGAGTGGAATATCATTTTTCACAGCCTAATGTTCCTTTTTTTCATTACTATTTGTAGGAAGATAATTGTTTCTTAGAGTAGGTCCTGCTGGTCACCCAGGTTTCCAACTGGTAAGAGGAGAAATAGCAGCAGGAATGAGAGAGATGAGAGACATTATATTACTAATATCACATCCACACCCAAGCTCAGGGGAGGAATTAGCTGGCAGGAAAGGTAGAGTGATCTCATGGAGAGGATCTTTGATTTTAGACCCTGGGTAGGAGCATACACTATGCCCTAGAACTTGATGGCCCCCATCTTGGTCTATCTGGCCAGCTTACAGTTATTTTGAGGGTTTATTTCTCTTTCTAGCTCTTTGCTACCATCTAGTGTTCATTTAGAAATGATGAACATGGAGAAAATAATCTAGATTTCTTCCTAAGGCAAATTTCACCTTTAGTCTTAAGCCTTGGATCCTGCCATGAAGTAGTCTGAAGTGAGAGGTAAAAAGATAATTCCTTCATAAACCAAGAAAGTTAATAGTTTGAAAGTTCTATCTTCTAGAAGACTCTTGTCATTTTCCAGAAGCAGATGGCTTCGACAAAGTGTCATAGATATCTCATTGGTCTTCTTGTGTGCCTGTTTATTTCAGTAGCTTGAGTGAGGGAGTGATGCTGAATGGGAGTCCAATCCTTCTTCATTCCCTTGCCCCCTACATGTGACCTCAGGCCATGTGATGTCTCTTATCCACACTGTTCTCTTCTTTACCTACCTTGGCTTTTGTTCCCCATCTCTCTTTCCTTTCAACTGTTTGCCTTTGGCTGTGTAGATCTGGATTTCTTTTATGCATTGTATTATCACATTATTTATTTTTTCATTTTTATTGGATCTGGACAAATTACACTTTAATTATGTACAGGGAGCATAGCGATATTAGAAAGTAAACAATGTAGAATGATTATTAACAGGCTATATTTCTTGGAAACCACCCTCATCCTCACCAACATGTCTCTACAGAACACAGTCCTTCCTATGTCTCACCAAAAGTCTGCTCCTTCTGTCTTACAGGGTGCCCAGGGCTGTACAGTCTCCTAGACCATTGTTTTGCTTCAATTTCATGGGACAGTGCTTTCTCTTTCACCATTCTCTCTACCAGTATTTCTTCTTATCACTGTCACTTGACCTCTTGGTTACTTCTCTGGTACTTCTAGAAGTCTGTAGCCTGTTCTTCTCAATATTTACATTATACGTCAACCAGCACCTGTCTTCACTGAGAGACTTGCAGTGAAGCTCTGTAGTCCACCCCTAGCTTCTCAAGGTTCATGCTTCTTCATGGCATTAGCATCAGTACCCTACTCTTCACTCTCCTTGGCCTCATCTTCCCTCAAGATGACTCTACCCAAGATCATAAGCTGCTGTGTCCTTTCCTGGATCCAAATATCCACTCCTTTCAGCTTCCTTTCTACCTTTCCTTTCTTCACAATCAGTTTTTGCCTCTGTGACCAGTTACTGTAACTTTCCTCTCAGTAGCTCCAACTGGAATCAATGTTTCATCAGTTTGTAATGTACTTACTTTTGGCCTATTTGAAAATCTCTCAAGTCTTTGTGATTAAGGCTGCCACTAAATCTTCATGTCCTCTATTATCAGTATTGTTAATATGACTGATCATTTATTTCTCATCTTTGGTCAACTCCCACATACTTTGCTCTCAAAAGTCAGGTATAAGCCTTTTCTTCACACTTTAAGCTTCCTGACCACTGTATACAGACTCCCTGTCTTTACTTTTTCTCCCAGTCCTGGGACTTGAACTCAAGGGTTGGGCTCTGTACTTGACCTTTTATGCTCAAGGCTACTTCTCTACCATTTGAGACACAGCTCCACTTCCTGGGGGGGGGGCGGTTAGTGGTTAATTGGAGATGAGTTTCACAGACTTTCTTGCTCAGTCTGACTTTGAACTGTGATTCTCAACTCTCAGCCTTCTGATTTGCTAGGATTACAGGCATGAGATACTGGTGCCCAGCTGTCCCCTCTATTCTTAACAAATGACAGGAAATAGCAGTTTTCAGGTGGGAATTCCCTCAGTACTTCTCTCACCATCTATGAGCTTCTTTACCCACTTATATTTTTAGCTTCCTCCCTTCCAACTTCAAAGAAGTGATGGTGCTCCCATCCAGGGCTAAGTTCACCCTTCTCAACTTCCTTCGGAATCTCCATCCATCACATAGTCTCTTGTTTATTAGCTTTTTTCAACTCTCTTCATGACTTCCTTTTCAGACTATAAAGATGTTTCAGTCCTTCTTATTCAAACACTTTTCTCCTAACCCCACACAATGCTGTCTTCCTTTTTTCTCCTCAACCAAATATCTTAAAAGAGCTACCTCCCAAAGTTCAGCTCTTTGAGCAGAATGATTTTTGCCTTCTCTGTGTAGACATCTGTATTATTATGTATGGAATATATTGTAGCTACTCAGGAGGCTAAAGTCTGAGGATCCCTGTTTGAAATCAGCCCAGGCTAAAAAGGTCACAAGACTTTTATCTCCAATTAACCAGCAAAAGGCCAGAAATAGCAGTATGGTAGAACACCTGCCAAAAAGGTAAGCAAGAGCTGAAGGCCTCAAAGTCAAGCCCCAGTACGGGTGTGTGTGCACATGTGCATGCACAAGCACG